GGGCCTCTTGCCGAAGCGTGGGTTTGAACCTGAGCCCCAGGGTTAACACAGCCCTACACTCATTGCAGCAGGCAACCAGCCCCTGAGCCGAGATCTTGAGCCAGGTTAGGATTTTTCGCTCCTTCGCGTCCAGCGCGGCCCGTAGGCCAGTTCGAGTCTGCACCGAATTAGGCCGATTAGGCCCTTCCGCTTCGCGGGCATCGCCAAAAGGGCGGAAGAGGTGTGAAACTCCACTGGCTGCGGCTGGCCCTGCCTGCCTAAGGCCAGGGGTGGGGGTCCACTTCCCGTGAGGGTGTGGTGGCCACGACCCGGTGACACGCTGGGGAGGAGAACCTCCGCCAGCAGGGGGAAAACTCACCCCGGGCGTGGTGGCCACAGCCCACTCACGGGTTTGGCTTCTGGATGCCGAAATACCCGGCGGTGTTAGCAACGTGAGCCTCCGTCATGAAGTGTGCACCCATGTGCTCAGGGGTGGGGCAGCTCACGTTGCATGCCAAGCATGTCTTGAAATCTGGGCTGAGGAGGCTTGGACTCGGTACCCTCGTCCTCGGATTTCACCTTTATGGTGGAGGCTGCATCGTCCTGAGCAGGAGTCTCAGGCCCAGATGCAGCCTCAGGCGGCTTCGGCCCAGCGGATGTCTCGGCTGGGGGCGGGAGGGAGCGCCGCCCAAACATTCTCGTCAGCGTCCTTTAACAGGGGATGCCTGGAAGCGGTCAGGGGAAAGGCTTGCTCCAACCCCGAAACTTCAGACATGCCGCGGAGGTTCGCCGGCTTGAGAGCAGCTTTCCTGTGGGAATCGATGAGCTTTCCCAGTCCAGCTTTGCAAAAGTTCATTGTGTCCAGGAAATGTAAAGCTCCAATGTCCATGGTCAGGTTCGTTTCCCCGCTATTCTGCAAAATCGAGATCTTGGCTGACAGGAGAATCTTGATTGCAGCGGGAGGCAGCGACGCGAACATCCCAACATTCCCCAACCTCGCTGAAAGCTCTTGCGCGCTAAACTTGTTCAGCTTCTTGCCCTTCGATTTGGCAGCAGGCTTGACACCCTCCAAAGCTTTACGAGCTTCAGCCTTGAACTTGGCAAAAGCGCGGAGAACGAAGTGAAAGTCGTAGCGTCCTCCGTTATGGAAGCATACGCAAATGCTGGTTGGGTTGTGAGCTGCCTTGTTGCAATCCTGACACAACGAGCCCGCGAAGGCACCGCTTCCGTGAAGATGATGTGCGACTTTTCCACGACCAGCACTGCCGGCTCTAAAGGTCCTTGAACACTCGCGGCAGACAGCAGCTCTGTCGTGTGATTCCTGCTCACCAGGTTTCCAAACCAACTCCATCTGTCGATTGGTCCTCCAGTCCTTGAAGTCTTCGGAAAGGTCTATCATGGCCACGAGGAATTTGACGACAACGGCGCACTCGTGCTCGCCCTCCTGAGCGTGGATCATGCACAGCCTGTGGCTATCGGGAGGATTGTAACCGCACATGCCCACGGCAGCGTAGCCGACTGCAGCGACCCTGTTCTGGACGCCCAAAACCGAAGCGTCACCGGCAACCTCCTTGCTGAAGACTTCGAAGTCGGCGTAGACCACCAAAGGCGACAACTCGCAGGTGCTCTTGATTCGATACTGCAGCACATTGTTTTGTGGACTGGGCAGGGAAATCTGTGAATTGCATCCTTCGAAATCGCTCCTGCACAGCGCCTTCTTGAAGTGATTCCGCAAAGCCAACTCTGACCTGAAACTGGACCTGCATATTGGACACATGTTCACGTTATGTCCACGACCCCATGTCGACTCAAGCTGCTCACCTCGTCGTCCAGCAAAGGCGTTGAAGTTGTAGATCAGCATGTAGTGGTTTTCATGCAGCAGAAGAGTGACAATGCGCGTATTGTCACTCCTGGCCTGAAGTACCTCTTCGGGAGGGGGTCGCAGAAGAGTCTCTCCGACATGCCTCATTCCGTCTTGCTCTTCGTCAACCCACTGGTACACCACCACCTCCACAACACCGAGGTTGGAGAGCTCGAAGTTGGTGATGGCCTCAATCGGTACAACGTCCATGTTCACCGCAGAGAAGTCCAACCCCACATCCACAAGCTGACGAGGGTCATCATCCCCGGGACGTCCTCGCTTCCGGGCCGTGTGGAAGAACGGGGGACCTGTGCATCTAACCGTGTGTCTGCACTCATCATTGTTGAGCTCCCCGACATCCAGGAAGGCGGCTCGCAGACACCACTGGAAACATCTCCTATCCTTCTGAGGGTTCCAGATGCCTTTCCGATTCGACAACGAAGCGGGCAGCTTGACGACCCCACGAGCTCCTCCGCCGACACCAGGAGCCGGTACCTGCTCAAGTCCAGGTGTGAGAAGGACCTCAATCCACTCGAGACCCGCCACTGTCCAGTCGCTGCCGGGCAAAGCACTGCGCTCCTCTGCAATCTCGAATTTCCAGCGGGCGGCGCTCACGATGGCATGCATTCGGAAGTTTGGATCTACCGCAGGTCGGCTGATCCAAGGCACGATATTCTGGTAGAAGTCATCTTCCTCCCATTCACCTGTTGCGGGATTGGTTCGCTGAATCCTCATTTTGACCAGCAACTTGATGTGAAATGGAAAGGGTGAGTTCAAGTACTGACGGATGTGCTGCTGCAGAACATAAAGCGACCTCTCCGAAATATATCCTCCCTCCCGCTGAGAGCTCAATCTCCAACGAGCTAGCCAAGCACGAGGGACCCAGCCCATTTGCTCGACCAGGATGTCTTCCATGTCAACGAACTCTGAAATTAAACTAAACACTCTTTTATTTCTATGCCATGAAGCAGAGTGACCGATCAGCCACAAATCAAAATTGTACGCATGTGACTTGGTGTATGATTCCACGACCATGTGCAACCTCATCATGCCATAGACCGCGTACGGATTGATAGTTGGAACCTGGAAAATTTTTTGAGAAGGTGCATGGCTACAGCAACTCAAGGTTCACTTGCAAGTCACTCCACAACACATCACAGGATGTAGGCAGTTCCTCAGAGGCCCCACGCGTGGAGCTGGATGGATTTTGGGATCAGCTGAACCTGGGTGACGAAAAAGCAAGTCGGCTCTAACCCACAACATAACTTCCAAAATACGGCGCTTGCACTACACTCAGAGGTTGCTACCAAGCCAGCGCCGAGGGAACTCCCAAAGCTGCAACATTGATTTTTACTCAGAGACCGCGACCAAAGTCTGAGCAGGATGATGTTCAGGACAAGGACCTGAGCAGAAAAAACGCAAATTCACTCTGACCTACTTGTTCTTACTTTCGTTTTTACGTGTTTTGCTGTTTTGTTATTTTTGATTGTTTTTTTTGTATGGGTTTTTGCCTATGTTTTTGAGGGCGTTTTCGTTTTCTTGATCATAATGTTACGTTTCTAGCCATCCTAAACCCTAAAATTCACTCTAACCTACTTGTTATTATTTTAGTTGTTATGCGTGTTGTTGTTTTGTTATTTTCGTTTGTTTTTGTATGGGTTTTGCCTGTTTTTTGAAGGCGTTTTCTTTGAAGGCGTTTTCGTTTTCTTGGTCATAATGTTACGTTTCTAGCCATCCTAAACCCTAAAATTCACTCTAACCTACTTGTTCTTATTTTAGTTGTTATGCGTTTTGTTGTTTTGTTATTTTCGTTTGTTTTTGTATGGGTTTTGCCTATGTTTTGAAGGCGTTTTCGTTTTCTTGGTCATACTGTTACGTTTCTAGCCATCCTAAACCCCAAAATTCACTCTGACCTACTTGTTCTTATTTTCGTTTTTACATGTTTTGTTGTTTTTGTTGTGTTTTTGTTTGTTTTTGTATGGGTTTTGCTCATATTTTGGAAGGTGTTCTCTCGTTTTTTGAACAAACAAAACAGCTAGCAGAATCCTTGGCTTTCACTCAGAGGTTTGGGTCGGTTTTGGGTCGGTTTTGGGTCGGTTTTTCGCCTAGGTAGTCGGCATAATCAGTGTCAATCCTCCTAGGTAGTCGGCATAAACCGTATCAATCACTCGGGTGCCGCACAACAAGACCTTGCGCATACGCTCAGAGCTCCGGGCACTCGCGATGAAGACGAAGCGAAGACGCCAGAGTTAAAGAACCTGCGCACAGAGGCGGGGGGTGCCCGGGGTTTCCGGGAACCGAGGTGGGGCCTGCCTATCCTACCTACACCTATCCTTGGCCCTAGCAGCTCTACCCTGCAGATGCAAACAGACCTGTGCGCACTCACTTGCAAAACCCTCACTCCTACTCGCCATCCTAAAGCACTCAGAGGGCCTTGCGATGTGAAGAAGCTCTGGAACAGAAAACACACCTGCGCGCAGAGATTAGGGGGATTCCGGGGACAGAGGTTAGGGACTGCCTACTCTACCCTACAGTCCTAACAGCGCAGACTGCAAAGCACTCCTGCACACCACAAGCTGCACGGCACTCCTACACATGCAAACGGCACTGGGCAGATACAAAAGCAACCTAACCTATATAGGGTAACCGTAGGGGATCAGGGTCTAAGACTAAAACCTGCGCACTCTCTTGCATTCACTCAGAGGCCCCCGACGCAAATCAACGCCTTGGGCTGCTAAAAAAAGAACCCTACCCTACCCAAACTAGCTTTAATGACATTGTGCGTGTGTGCTGTCTCTTTAACCTGCACTGTAGTCTTTCTAGTCTACCTGCCACGCTGTCAAAATTTGCATGTCACCCACCTTCGAACCGCGGCACGGTCTGCCAATATTTTGCGAAAAATCCAACAACAATCATGCAAATATTCAACAAAGCATGTAGGAAAAAACGAAGTGTTTCTCACACTCTGTCTTCAACGTGCTCAGTCAACATCTTCACCAAGCCAAGTCAACAGTTGTTGCAAGCCTCCCAACAGGTCTCTTGCTGCACCTCCTTGCACCACTTGAGCTGTCGCTGGCTCTTCGATGGCGCTGTAGCAATTCGGAGCCAAGAGAACACCAATGACGCCAATGACTGATTCCACAGGTTCTGGCGCGTTCTGCACCTCGTTCATCACCGCAGCTGCATTCTGGGCGATTTGTTCCACCTTTTCTTTGCAGCTTTTGGCGTTGGTAGCTCCAGTCACATCCAACAGCACCTGATGCCGGAAAGCACATTGAAACCTGTAGATTCAATGGCAGAAATGCAATACTTTCCCTTTGCAACTGAGCCCCGGACCAACTCATTCGCTGTCGTCTTGAACCAAATGTCGAAGCCTTTGTGTGTGCCAGCCGTGCCACCTTCTGAAAGCGCGTGATACATGACACGATGCTCTATGCAGCGGATACCATCAATGCAGGGCTTTCCCTTCTTTGTGAAGACTCTGGCGCTCTTCCCATTGAACTGCTTGATTCCATCGCGTAGCTCTTTGCACTGGAAACGGAACTCACGCCCCACGTCGTCCAACGGAAATCGACCGGCTGCTTGGGCAGCTTTGCAGGCAATAGCCCATGCGTATGCCCGCTCCAACACCAGACCATCGCACCAGTCAGACTTTCCCAGAATAGATTGTCTGAACATACTTTGCCCATCGCAAAAAAGATTGAAGCTCTCGCCCTTTTCATCGCGAGCTGCCAGCAACCTCTCCAGCGGAAGAGTCAGCTTCCGGTTGTCCAACGAGATCACTCCCGGACACCGTCTGTCCTCTGCCTGGGCATCTTTTATGCCCAACAACAAGTCCACTGCTCCTGAGACCTGTTCATCTCGATCTGGCAAAGCGACGCTAAAACATCCAAGAGCTCCAATGAGCTTGCTCTCCAGGTTTCCCTTCTTGTTAAGCTGGTCCTGGATGTTTCTGAAAGTTCTGCGCAGGTCGCTCTTCTCATCCTGTGGAAGGTGGAGCTGGTCAAGACCGATGTCCACAAGGAAGAGGCTCAGCTTGACTCGCAGTGTTGCGCGCAATCGCCGTGCCTTGCCATTCCAGTCACCTGAAGGAAGCCTGATTCTTCGCAAGCCCGCCGCCGTGGCTGGTGCATTATCTGAAGCGTCAACAGTCATCAAGGACCCAACATCCACCAGCATCATGGCAATTGCAAACCTGCAGACTTTGGACGAGTTCTGCGCAGGCAAGTCCGGTGGTTGAACGTAGGTGGCAATCACCCGACACCTCGCTGGGACTGAGCCAGCAAGCTGCATTGCTCCTCGCCTGAACTCGGGAGATGCGCTCATCGAGCGGTGCTCATCAATGTGGAGGAGGAGACGTTTGCTCTGATCCTGCAAAAACTTATGGACCTCCTTCTTGAACCTTGCCACAGCCATGTTCAAGCTTGGAAGTGGCTTGGGCGGTTGCCATTCAAGGTCATGATATGCTCCGTTCATCTGCGTCCTGAAGCAGTGGAGCATGAAGTCAGCACCTGCCCGCTCCAGCTCATCGGTCTCCAAATCGCGCAGTTGGCGGTTGGGCGCAGGGCTGTGACCTCTCTATTCCAAAGCACCCAGAAAAAGGATCATCTCGACAACAATCTACCCCGAAACAAAGATTGAGGATGAAATGCCCTTCCAAATATCCAAAGACCGCGCTAAGTGTAAGGCGAGTTGCAACTCCCATCGTTGTTGGCAAATGGCATGTACAAGTAGTGGGTGAACCTGTGCTCATTGTTGAGTTCGACACTTCGGCAAAACATTGGAAGAATGGCTGCGGATTTGCCCCGCATGACTGGTGCTGACAGGTAAGCTACGCGATCTCTGCGCTGCCCTGTTCTCTCTAAGCGGTTCACGGCAACATCCAAATCATGTTTACGGCAGAAATAAGGCCGTGAATACAGCTTGCTTGCTCCATCATCGCCTTCTCTCACTGGCAAGGACGCTTCATACGACGTCCATGAACTCAGCACGGGGATGTTCTTTGCTTTCATTGTAGCCTCAAAGGCCTCCTTTATCCTCACCGCCAAGCAGTCCGCGCCGCCACAGGCACTCCACCACCGTGATGCATGACAGCCAATGGCAGTGCCCTCACGAAGCCTGTGCTTCCTCACATCAGCTCCAGCAAAGCCCTGTGAGAACGAGCCGATGATGTCGCACGCAATCCAAAGCAGCAAGGAACCCTTGAGAAGGCATGACCGTCGATTGAATGGAAATTGACGAGCCGGCATGGCGCTGTCTGCACTCAAAGAAGAATAGATGATAGAATAGTAGGGAACTTGAGCACACGCGCTCTCGGTAGGGAGCTTCAAAGCCAGTCCAATTCTCTCAAGCACGCGCTTGCCCTTTGAGTCTTGTCCGTCTTGGGAGCACCAAAGGAGCCCACAGAAAAATCCAAGAAAAACAACAATAAAAAATCTAAGAATCATGTGGAACATGCACAGAAAATAATGAGAAGATCTTGCATTTATTCAACCTTTTTAAACACCCACACTCTGAGCCAAAACGACGTTCTGTACAGCGATGCTCAAGATGCTCACAACCTCCGGGCGCTCAAGATGTAAAGGGCACGCTGCCAATGCCCGGAGCCAATGACCCACGGCGAGGCTTCGGTGCTTTGGTGGCACTGGCCTGGGTTGACGGGGCCCTTTTGGGCTAAACAGAGGGAAAGGAATGAAGAGCGTTCTGTTCTGCCGAGTGCCAGGCTGCGACCTGAATGGCTTTCGCTTCAAAACAAAAGAAGCCCTTCGCAACCACACTATTCGAAAGCACCCCTTGCCCGAGGAAGCCCACACCACCACCCAAGAAGAGGACTGGGTCATCGTCCCCTATGGCACAGAAACGAAACTGCTGCGGTTGCTACGAATGGCTGACCAAAGCCCCGCTCCCTCGCGATAAAGTAAAGCATGACCAAAATCAAGGTCTTTCCGAGTCCCTCCTACGACACCAAGCAACCCCACGACCCAGTGGTCCCGAAGCTGCCCTGTACTGGGATCCTTGTCGGTCCCTCCAAGTCTGGCAAGACCGTTGCCTTGATTTCAATGATTCTGGATCAATACAGAGGCTGCTTCGAGAGGATCTACGTGTTCAGCCCCTCGATTAATGTCGATGACGGCTGGCGACCGGT